CACAGAAGCTCAATAAAGTCAGGGTGGAAGCTGGACGTGGTGGCTCGTGCCTATAATCCCAGTACCTTGTGGAGAGAGGATTGCCCGAGCCTAGGGGTTTAAGGCCAGTCTGGGCAACTTGGTGAGACCTCATCTCTACAACAAATCAAACATTTAGCCAGGTGTGCTGGTACACACCTGTGGTTCCAGCTACTTGAAAGGCTGAGGTGGAAAGATCACCTGAGCCCAGTAGGTTGAAGCTGTAGTGGCTGTGAGCATGCTGCTGCACTCCTGCCTGGGTGATAGAATGAGACTTCAACTCAAAAAAAGAAAAAAATCAGGGTGAAGTGAGGAAAAGACAAAGATAAGGATAACTTAAGTGCACACCTGGGGAATTTCTTCACATCAGTCTGGCTCTGACATCCCCACAGAGCTGAAGGAATATAATGTGATTTCTAAATGGAGAAGAAATTGACTTTTCCACACTGCGGCCATTCCCAGATGGGATCCTTTCTCTGCTGTGTGCCACACCTTTAGCGTAAAATCCCTAAAGCTCAGATCTATGTACAACTGTTGGGGATGACACGGTAAGTCTATGTTTAGCTATATCAGCAAGGATTCACACAAACACTTGGAAGGTATAACACTTATACCTTGCCCCCTTCAGGAGAGAAAGATGTGGAATGGTGGGAAAGAAACCTCAAGTAGGTGGTCCTGTTTGACCTTTGCCTTCTCTGCTCCATTCCCAAAACAGAGCACTGGCCTGGTGCGGTGGCTCAAGCATGTAATCCCAGAACTTTGGGAAGCCAAGACAGGAGGATTGCTTGAGCCCAGGAGTTCGAGACCAGCCTGGGCAACATACTGAGACCTTATCTCTAAAAACATAAAAAAAAGTTACCCCAACATGGTAGTGCATACCTGTAGTCCCAGCTCCTTGGGAGGCTGAGGTTGAAGGATTGCCTGAGCCCAGGAGATTGAGGCTGTGGTGAGTCATGATTATGCCACTGCACTCTAGCCTGGTGACAGAGTGAGACCCCAACTCAAAAATATAAACAAACAAATAAATAAAGCCTCAGACAGGTGATCCTGTTTAAAAATCTGTTGAAAGTAATTTTGCCCTCTCTGCCCGCTTCCCAAAAGGCAACTTTGGGAATGTCACTCTAAGGGGCATTGCTGCTTGGTCCCTCTCCTATCGCCACATCTTGCCAAGTCGTGGGGTCAAGTCAAACTAGTGAAAAGGAAGCCCTAAAGTAGCTACTAGTGATGAAAAGAAACCAGACATATAAGTGTTTTCTGTTTGATAGAGAAAAATAAAGACAAAATGGAGGAGGAGGAGGAGGAAGTGGGAGAGGCGGTGGCCTCTAGCAACAGAGGAGCTGGAGGCTATGGCGCCTGTTTCACCTTCACTGCCTGGCCCTGTAGACTGTTCAGGGGGTACCTCTTGCTGGTGTGCACACACAGGTGGATCCACCGTGTGTAATTTATGAAGCGGGATTTGTTATGTTGCAGCATGGTTCACTGGTTCTCACAAGATTCATTAATCTTGATGTCACATTGTTCTGGGAGTTCTCAATTCTCAATAAAGCACACTAAATCACCCATATGATCTCTCCTTAACATTCTACTTTATTTTAATCCCTTTCCAACAAGGTACACCTTTCTGGAGCAGGAGATTCTATCATGCTTTGGTGTAGTGTATGAGGGGGGACCCCCAAAAAATCACAATTATCTTTCAGAGGGCGGGCTCCTTATAGTACACTTGGAATTTGTTCCTCCAGATCAAACAGTCAACTCAAGTTTTTATCTGGAAGTTTTGAGAAGGCTGCGTCACAATTTGTGGAAGAAGTATACCTAGTTGTGGCAAACAGGCCACCATGACAATGCACCTGCACATACTGTGCTGAGTGATCAGCGATTTTTGACCAAAAACCAGCATGACCCCCATGTCCCACCCTCCCTATTCACCTGCTCTTGTCCTGAGCAATTTTTTTGTTTCCCCCATGAAAAAAGTCCTCAACGGAAAATATTTTGCTGATGTGGAAGAGGTGAAACAAAAAACAGAAGAAGCAATAAAAGTCATAAAAATTGACAAGTTCAAAAACTGTTTCGAGCAGTGTAAGTTTCTCAATAGGTGTTGCATCAAACCGAGACGACTTTGAAGGTGACTGAAGTTTAAACAAGTAAGAATATACACTTTTGTATAAATAAGTTCCAGGTTTTTTTGGGTCCCCCTTTGTACCTTTAGCCATTTCTCCTGCCCTGGGGATGGTGTTTTGTGGCTGCCCAATTAGAAAGAAACTCTGTCATAACCCTACCTGTTTCTCTGACCCACTTTTCCTATTCCTCAACAGGTAAATTGACACAGTTCTGTGGGAAAAAGATCTACTCCACAGTGGAATAAGACCTTGGCAAGGACTTTTAAATATGAAGGAAGCATGCATGTGGAAGTGGGAGAGAAGGGCTCAAATACAGACAAAATTACTTCCTTTTCAGACCAGACCTCGAGAAGTAACAGCCCATGTCCCTTCTTCTATGACACAGTGCCCTCACTCGTGAAGTGGGAACCACCTCTGCTCCATCTAGCAGAGATCTGGGAAACATGAATTCATCCTTCTGCTCCATCATGAAACAAAGGAAAGCAAATCCATCTTATCACCCTTTAAGCTGCAATCAGCTTATACCACAGACTCTATGAGAAACAAATGACAATGGCCCTTTGTCTTGTGGGGGTCAGGAGGAACATGCCTAAATCTAACCTGAGTATCAGCAATTTTAGCCTTTAAAACTATAGGACATCATGAGAGCTGGACACACACACACACACACACACACACACAATGTTTGGAAGAAATGAGATAAAAATATTAATAGCAATTATCTCTGAATGGTTGACTTCTTTGGGTGATCTTTAGTTTCTTCTGTATTCTTTTCTTAGTTTTTGTTTTAATGCACATGTTTTACTTTTTTTTTTTAGATTGGGAAAAAATAGCTTATTTAGAAAGTAAATTAGAGAGAGAAAGGGAAGAGAGAGAAGATTCACTTCCCCAAGGTAGGGAAGGGAGCCAAAGGAAACATCGTGGCCATAGTTCAAAAAGCCATGTGGACACACCAGAGTTTAAAAAAGCAATGGCGAATGGAGAGAGACAGAGAGAGAGAGAGGGAGGAGATTCACCTACCCAAGGGAAGGAAAGGGGCCAAAGCTTAGGAAAACATGGCCTGGCCATAGCTCACAGAACACATGGCCAGACCATAGCATAGCAAGGCAATGGCTGTATTACATTTTTTTTTTTAAGAGACATGGTCTGGCTCTGTTGCCCAGGAGTATAGCGGTACGATCATAGCTCACTGCATCCTTGAACTCCTGGCTCAAGCGATCCTCCCACCTCAGCTTCCCAAGTACCTGGGACTACACACATGTGCCACATGCCCAGCTAATTTTTTAAGTTTTATATAGTGATGGGGTCTTGCTACAGTTGCCCCTGCATATCTTGAACTCCTGGCCTCAAGCGATCCTCCTGCCTCAGTCTTCCAAAGTGCTGGGATTATAGGTGTGGGTCACTACGTCCAGCAAGTGCATGTATTACTTTTTAGTTGGAAAAATTTATTGTTTAAAAATTCGTTGATAGTAATTTCTTCTCTACTTCCTTAAATTTTCTGTAATGAACTGCCTTATTCAATTTAGAACCTAGATTAAGTCTTGAATCTAAGCTTCCTTAGGAACTGAACTTCATGTAGATTTGCTGGACGTTGCTGGAATTTCACTTGCTAAACAAGATGGCAAATTGTTGCTCATGTTTAAGTAGAAGAACAACTTACCAGAGATACTGAAGAGGGTCTCACATTTAACCAAGGGCATGAAACTAAACAACCTAAGGTGTCTTTCCATTCAGTTAAATAATAGTCAATTAAGATACAGCATTTGGATCTGTAACAATTGTACCATGCTGCTATGTGTTAGTTTTTTTTTTGGAACAATAAACTTTTTCCTCAGTATATATAGCAAGCGGCTGTTTAAAGGGGTCCTTATGATGTGTTAGTAACATGAGTGTGGGGTAAGCCCAGGACAGGATGATGTGCCGAACTCAAGATACATTCCCAGGGAATTCAACCAATCCATTTTCTCTTTATTTCATAAAACAAGGTCTCTGACTTGTACGTGGAAAATATCTTCTGATTTCCTGGTTTTGTTTTTTAAAGAGATCAGTTTCTATATAATTTGCCAAGTAACTATTTTTAACTTAAATCAGGACAGGAAATATTGAAGATGAAAAGATACATTTAAGCCGGGGTCGGTGGCTCAGCCTGTAATCCGCGCCTTTGGTAGGCTGAGGTGAGTGGACTGCCTGAGCCAGCGGGTTCGAGACCTGCCTGGGCAACTTGGTGAGACCTCATTCTACAATAAATAAAAAAAAATTAGCCGGGTGTGGTAGCGCGTGCCTGTAGTTCCAGCTACTTGGAAGGCTGAGGTGGATGGATCGCCAGAGCCCAGCAGGGCGAGGCTGCGGTGGCTGGGAGCATGCCACTGCCCTCCAGCCTGGACTACAGAGTGAGACTCCAACTCAAAAAAAAAGAAAAGAAAAGATACATTTAAAAAGGCCAGATGTGGTGGCTCATGCCTATAATTCTAGCACTTTGGGAGGCTGAGGAGGGAGGCTAGCTTGAGCCCACGAGTTTGAGAACCAGCCTGGGCAACATAGTGAGAACTTGTCTCTACAAAATAAGAAGCATATATTAGCCAGGCATGGTGATGTGTATAGTCCTAGCCACTTGGAGACTGAGGCAGGAGGATCATTGGAGTCCAGAAGGTCAAAGCTGTAATGAGCTGTGATTGTGCCACTGCACTTCAGCATGAGTGACAGAGTGAGAACCCAACTCAAAAAACAAACAAAAACCCAGCAAACCTTTTTCACTTGCCTTCATGGGAATACTTCACTGACAAGCACTGAACACATTGTAAGAAATACCCGAGGAAATTGAGGTTTTTAAACTGGTTTTTAAATCTGAATAACAAGATTACTCACCCAAAAACCCAGCACTGTGTTCCTACGCGTTTGCACTGTGTGTCGGTGAGATAAGCGTAGTACTGTCTGAAAGAACAAAGTTGAAATTCATTGAGAGCTGCTGGAAGACCAATAAGTCAATACATAATTAAATCACTTTGACAGAGTGAGTATAAAAAACGCCCTGTCTTGTCCCATGTACTTGAGCTGTCTGGTCTAGTTCTATTCAAGGGAATAGAAAGTCAGTGCCTATTAAAACATTCCCGTAAGAGATTCAGAATTCGGGTTAGATCAGAGGGAGGGGAACACAGTTTACAAGAGCCAGATTACTGGCTGGTCCTGAGTTCAGCAGTGTTTACAACTGATCACAACCAGTTAGATTCCTTTGTTCCTTTTCCATCCCCACTGCTTCACTTGACTAGCCTTTAAAAAAAAAAAAGAGCCAGATCATTGGCAAAGCCAGTCTCAATTCAGTGACTAGACTCCCACAACCCTGAGTCAAAGCAGCCTCATGGAGGTGCTCCAGTCTCTAGCTCTGTGGATGTGATTCCAGTAATTATCCCCTCTGGCTCTCTCCAAGACAAAGATTGCTGGTTGCAATCAGGCAAGAAATCCATTTATTTTGGCTTTCAGAAACAAGAACAGGACCCCAGCTGTACCTCATTGTCCCTGAATGTCAATGACTTTACATGTTACTGACAAGATCAGAAAAAACAGGCAATGATGTAGAATTGAAAGGCTCAGAACAGCACTATCCAACAGAAATATAATACAAGCCATAAATGCAATTTGAAATTTTCTAGTAGCCATGTTCAAAAAGTAAGAAGGGAGAGATAAAAGTCATGTAAATAATGTTATTTAAACCATTATTTGAACTGATACGATTAAAACATTACAATGAGGCATTTTATATTCTTTGGCCTCAACTGTTCAAGATCTGGTGTGCCGTTTATACATACACCACATTTCAACGTGGACTGGCCACATTTCCAGTGATCAATAGCCACACATGGTGGCTGACTCCCATAAGTGACAGCATGGTTCAGTCTCCTAAGTATCCCAAAATCAATCCCTCTTTTCAGGAGTAGCATCTGAAAGAGGAGCTCATTTTTGTGGGGTCACAGACTTCTTTGAGGATTTGAGGAAAGTTATGATAAAGGCACAAAATTTTGCATAAAACTCCAGAGGGTTCACCGATACCTAAAGCTCATCCATGAACTATCACCTCCTCATCCCAGAGACCAGAGTGACAAATGCTAGTTATAAAGAATGTAAGATTTCCTCTAACTTCACATTGTCATTACCTGATTTGCCTTTTCCAGTTCAGCTACTTTACCCTCTGGATGCCTCCATCTTCTTTTACTGCACTTTTTTATTTTTATTTTTTTTGTGTCAGGGTTTCACTCTGTCACCCAGGCTGGAGTGCAGTGGCATGCTCACAGCTACCACAGCCTCAGCCTGCTGGACTCAGGCGATCCTTCTACCTCAGCCTTCCAAGTAGCTGGAACTATAGGCATGCACCATCACATCACACTTTTTAATTGTAGAGACAATGTTTCACGAAGTTGTCTTGTTGGTCTCGAACTCCTGGGCTCAGGCAATCCTCTTGCTTTGGCCTCCCAAAGTGCAGGGATTACAGGTATGAGTCACCTCGCCTGGCCTTATTACACTTCGTATTGTCAGATTAAAAGAATGTTCACTCGAGTATGTTCTCAAAACAGACTCGTGTGAAATTCTAATCAAAAAGGGAAAAAATGGAATTATGATATGTACCATTTATCCTAAAGCCTATAAGCTCTCTCTCCTTTTGGGGCCTGGCCTTTGCTAACTGAGGTGGCTGTGTTAAAATTCACTAGAGCACATCCATCTTTCCAAATAACTTGCCTAAAAACCTTCTTATGTGGGAACCACCTCAAGCAGTCTAAGAGTCAAGAGTCTAAGAAAGTGGCTGACTTTTAAAGAAAAAGAATTGTGAAGAAATCCATAAGGTTTGGCAAAATTTTGAGGATCTCTCAACAGCGCAGAACACTGGATTTATAGTCTCTAGTTTTTATTTTGGAATGTTTAACACTACTGAAATTTCATGATAAATATTATGTGATTTGCTATTTTGTTCTATAAGAAGAGATTTCTTTTTGCTCTTACTTTGTTGATTGTTCTTAATTTTATGAAGGAATTGCTGCTAATTTTTCCTGAAAATAACTGTAGTGTCTCAAATTTAACTACACTTTATATGGGGACTCCAAACCATGGAGATAACACAACATTTATGAGATAATGATTTCAATAAACTACTGGTGGATTCATTTCAAAGGGCTGCTGACTTACCAACTGTTCCTGTCCTGCTGGAGTCATACTAAAAAGAGATGAAATTTTTAGTCTTAACTCCACAGGACTCAGGCATGTATTATTTGGATTGTTCAATCCAGGATCTGGGGATATTTTTTTCTTTTGGTAATAATGAATGATGATAAGAAGAGGTGCTGGCTGGAAACATCTGATCAACGTGAAACTCTCCTTGGCAAGTGAGGTCCTCTGCCTGTGTGGTTTGCAAGCCAATTAAAAATGGTGAACTAAGCAATCCTAGAGCTTCTGAAGAGCTGACTCATTTAATTGGTTAGTCTATATTTGGATCTTTGGCATTGCTACTGATCCATACTAGTACTTCATATTAGTTATAAAGCCCAGATGCCTTTCTATATAGGAAGTGAAACAAATAAAAATGTCTGCTTTGAACTTCATTTACCTGTGAGGGATAGGGTCTCTGAATGAGCCTCATCTCTACAGTCCTACATAAAACCAGGTGATATACATATATTTTAAAATAAATATTATATATATATATTACACACACACATATGTGTGTGTTTGTGTGTGTATTATTTTTTTTTTTGAGTCAGGGTCTTACTCTGTTGCCCAGGCTGGAGTGTACTGGCAAAATCACAACCCACCACAGCCTCAAATTCCTTGGCTTATGTGATCCTCCTGCCTCAGACTCCCAAGTAGCTGGGACTACAGATATATACCACCACACCTGTCATTTTTATTTTATTTTTGTAGACAAGGTCTTGCTATGTTGCCTAGACTGGTCTTGAACTCCTGGGCTCAAGTGATCCTGCCACCTCAGCCTCCCAAAGTGCTGGGATTATAGGTGTGAGCCACCATACCTGGCCAGGAAGGACATTTGTAAAGGGAAATTAATTTAATTGGATCTGACGAAGCTAATAAAATCTCATTTATGACTTCAGTCTACTATAGGAACTTTTATATTTTCAAATAATCTCATTTTTTAAAAACTCAGTTTCACTGCTACTAATTTTTTCTAACATGATGTTATAGGAGGAAAAAAAAGACCAGCAATGAAAGACTGTAAAGGGATTTGAAAATAATGGACAATACTATTGGTGTGGTATTGATTATTCATTTTCTTTTTTTAAACCCCATTTATGTTACTGAGGTCTGAGAGCAAAACGTTTTCTTCATATTCTGAATGTATAATTCCTTAGAATGATATTTTCATGGAAAATCTGCTATCTTATGTGACTTCCCTTATGTTAAACAGGACAATATAAAGCAGGTTAATGTCCTCAAATGACAGTCAGGCTTGTGCAGAATTACCTCACTGTGGGTGCCGTGATACCACCAATAAAAAGAATTCGACCCCAACTTAATGGATGGCTGGCTTGGAACACGAAGATATGCTTCAAGAAGAAGGTATTCAACTCAGTCAGCTGAAAAAAGAAGGAGAAATCAGTCACCCTGAACATTGTGCTAAGCCATAAGCATATATTCCTTAAATAGAAATTCTACAACTAGAGCTAACTGGTATGTTCAAAACATTTTCAGAAAATAGATGGGGTCCTTTGGTCTTAAAAACAAACATTCTAAAAAGCAATCCAGTGTCTAATGCATTGGATGATGAATGCTAAACATGACTTTTTTCAGAGAACCGAGTCTGTTTCCAATTTGTAGTTCAAAGATCCATATTTGAAAATGTCTTCATGACAAAGCAAGACCTTAGGCATGATAACATCACTTTGCTTAATTATTCTACATGCCAGCTGCAGAATATTATACTTTCTAAAGTATCTAGCTGGCAAGCAATGTAAACTAATATTAATTCTCAATTCCTGGAAGGTTTTTATTTTGGTTTTTGTTTTTCCTCTACTTCTGGGCATCTGCAAAAAATACCTGCCAGATGATCATGAAAAGGTATATTCCAGCCACTCTCTGAAAAGAAGATTTGGGGTCAAACCATCGAACGTAGGTCCAGCTAGCAGGAGTGAACTGCAGTACAGCTCTCTTGATTTTCCCGGTGGTGGTATGAATGTCCCTGTAGGAAGAGAATGGCTCCAGTGAAAATCCAAAGAGATATGGAAGGGGGTGGGGTGAGGAAAACAAACAAGACAGAAGGCTGTGCGTTGATGATTTTATAACAAATGCTTGGAGCACATGATTGCTTTTTATTTGAATAGCCATTCAAAGGTCTCTGTATTCACAGGTGAAGCAGGAGACAGAAGAATACTCGATGGGGAATTTCACTGATGACAGGCACAGCACAGCAAGGAGACTATTCTCACCCACCAGGAAAAACAGCACCTACTTCATATTCTTGAGATACCCACATTTCTTTACCTTATTTCTACCCCAGAAAAATGAACAGTTTGGATTGATAAACAGGGATATATAACCTTTCTTAGTTTTCATCCTAGAAATCACTCAACTGAAAGTTTCATGCCCCCATGGAAGAAACAAATGGTCCCACATTTAACAAATGAGAACATTTACACTTAGGGACAGCAAATGGCTGATGCAGACTCAGCAGCAGAGATGGTAGATTCTAGTCCTCTCTTACTAGTCCACAAGTGGAAGTCCAAGATGGATACCATTTAAGAACTGGTAGAGAGTCTTTGATTCAATGGATCATTATATCATGGAACTTTATGTCTCAGACATCGTGCTCAGTGCTGAAGGCACAGCACCAACCAGTCAGGCCCTGTGTGAATGGGAGAGGGAGAGTGGGCTGTTCGTTCATCCACCCACCTACCCATCAAAAAAAGCTCATACTGAGAAAATATCACAGCATAAAGATCTGCAGCACAACAGAAACAAAAAAGAAAAACTATCCCAAAATAAACAAGAACTAAGAAGGACCTGTATTTTTAAAATACCAAAAAAAAAAAGATGGGTGTGGTGACTTATGCCTGTAATCCCAGCATTTTGGGAGGCCAAGGCAGGAGGACTGCTTGAGCCCAGGAGTTCAAGATAAGCCTAAGCAACATAGCGAGACTTCGTCTCTATAAAAAAATCAAAAAATTATCTGGGCATGGGGGCACACACCTGTAGTCCAAGATACTTGGGAGGCTGAGGTGGAAGGATTGCCTGAACCCAGAAGGTTGAGGCTGTAGTGAGTTGTGATCATGCCACTGCACTTGAGCCTGGGTAACAGAAGGAGATTCTAACTCAAAAAAGTATTTAAAGAAAAATAAAAAATAAAATTTAAAAAGTGCCTGGAAAGACCTAGAAAAAGATGGAATAGAGATGTTATATGATCATGAACCAGAATATTTAATATAGTAAAAAGGCTAACTCACCTAAGCTAATCTATATTCACTTGCACATTTAATGTGACTTAAAAGCAGCAACAGGATTTTTGGTTTATTGGTTGGGCTTATGCCTTGGCAACCTGACAAAATAATTCTGAAGTTGAATTTGAAGCATAAATGTAAGAAAACGAGAAAGTACTGGGGCAGAGTTTAAGGAATCAAACATCCTGGTGCAAATTCAAACTTCCTGGTGCAAATTCAGAATCTGAGCAGGATAAAGTAATGATGGCAGTGTGACTGTTCTGCTAGCTGTTATGTCTTTAGACAAATCACTAAACCTTACTTTCAGTATCTTCATCCCTAAAATGAAGAGAATAAGTGTTTACCCCAGTACTGGCGTAGGGCTCAAATGAGATATTGCTTAGAAAGCTTGCTCAGAGCAGTACTTGGAGCACGGCTATGGTTTTTGTTAGATCAAATACAACCTTAAATATATTTAAAAGTGTCCTTTCAAATCAGTGGCCAAAGAAAGAATTATTAACAAAAGGGATAGGGAAAATTGGTTAATCAATGGTAAAAACACTGTGAAATCCCTCCCTCACATCATATACCAAAATAAATTTGAGATAAACTAAACAAGTAACTTCTAGTAAAACCATTAAAGAGCTAGAAGAAAATACAGGTTAATATTTACCTGAATAAAAAATTGAAAATATTTTTGAAGTATAAATGAAAAATTTACCACAAACAAAATTTAAAAGGGGGGGGTGACAAAATGAAAAATGGAATTACAATAATGACAAAGTGTTAATAGCCATAATCTATAGAAAGTACTAATGAAAGAGAATATCCAATGGAAGTAGACTAAAAATCCAGTATTATACAATTTATGTGAGGTAAAAATGACAAAGTTTAAAAATGAAATTCAAAGAAACACTGAAATGGATAGAATTTATTTACCAAACAAAAACAAACCCAGACAAGTACGCTAAGATTGTGTCTAAGAACGTTCATTATAGTCTTCTTACTAAAAGCCAGAACTTTGAAACAAGTAAATGGCCATAAATGGAATTGGTTAAATATTTTATGGTTTATTCATATGTTGCAATATAAAAGAAGACTTTTAAAATTATGTTTTAAAATAGTATTTAATGATGTAAGAAAATGCTCACATTTTGTTCTATAAAACAAAGTTTTTAACACAATCAAGGCAACTACTACTTTCATGATCACTACTGTTGCTCTTTCCTTCCTCATCGATGGCATGGTTCCTGCCACAAATTGAGAGGCAAGTTTATCTGAGCAGGATAAAGTAATGATGGCGGTGTGACTGTACTCCATGGCAGCACAGAGGAGGGCACACAACTGAAATTTAGAGAACTTCCTGAAGAGGTAACAAGTGAGCTGAGTCAGCAAAGAACAGGGGCATCAGCCTGGCCCATGAGTACATGGGTCAAATCCCAGGTAGAGAAGGGAGCATGTGCACGAACACAGAACCTTGGGTGCCTGGGAGAATGCAGGGAAAGGCTCTCCCCTGACGATCTCACAGATGTACAATTCATCCTAAGCCATGAGAAGCCATCACAGGACAGGAATACAGGAATGACCTGAGGATTCTGTCTGATGTTCTTTTTGTTTTGTTTTGTTTGAGTTGGGATCTTACTGTGTCACCCCGGCAGGAGTGCAGTGGCATAATCACCACATCCTTGACCTCCTGGCCTCAGCCTCCTGAGTAGCTGGGACTAGAAGTGTGAGCCACCACAACCAGCTAATTTTTTGTAGAGACTGGTCTTGAATTCCTGGGATCAAGCAGCCCTCTCACCTAGCCTCTCAAAGTGAGGGATTACAGATATGAACCACCACATCTGGTTGCTGTTCTTAAAAAGATTGCTCAAGCAATGATGTAGGAAAGTTTGGAGGGGTTACCTGGGAACAGAGGACTAATTAACCCAGTGATGGGCATCTGAATGCAGATGGAGACAGCAGGGATAAAAAAAAAGGGGATGCATTTAAGGGATATTTTCACTCGAGAGGGTGGTGCTAGGACCCTCTGAATATCTGGGGTGAGAAAGAAAAACTCAGATGATTTAGCATTTTCTGGACAAAAGCTTGAAATTAGGTTTATAATCATTTATGAGTTTCAATTATTAACATGGAATTCCCTATCATCCATCAGGCCATGTTAAAGTTGATCCACCTAAAGCACTTAAATATACGTTATGAAAAACTGTGACTAATGTCCAAAAGGAAGGTGACTCACTTGAAGCTTGCCCAGTGGTAAGTCCTCATCTCTAAAAACCGGCAAACGACCATGCCCAGCCAAATGCCACCACCATTGCACAGCAGGATATCCAGAATGACTTGATCCCACCAGCACTCAGCAAAATTGGGCAGGAGATGCATGAAGAAAAGCTGAGAAACACAAGAGCCGATGGTTGGAAAAATAAACAAAACTGGGGCACTATGCAGAAAGATACATTAGAAATTAGAATGCAGAAAAACATGAGAAAAAGTTGTTGACATTTCATTTTTTCCTACTATATTAACAAAAAGAAACAAAGTCTACAATCTGGTTTTTTTTTGTTTTTTTTTTTGAGTCGGACTCTCCCTCTGTCACTCAGGCTGGAGTCCAGTGCTATGATCATGGCTCACCTTATCCTTGAAATCCTAGGCTGAAGCGATCCACCATACTCACCCTCCTGAGCAACTGAGACTACAGGCACATGCCACCACACCTGGCTAATTTTTAAAATTTTTGTAAAGACAAGGTCTCACTATATTGCCTAGGCTGGTCTCAAACTCCAAGGCTCAAGCTATCCTCCTACCTCGGCCTCCCAAAGTGTTGAGATAATAAGCATGAGCCACTGCGACCAGTTGGTTCTTGTTTTTAATATTGCAGATGGTTTGAAAAAAAATTTAACCAGTCTTTTTCTTCGGCATAGGGCTTTTTTTCTTGAAAAGTACTACCAATGAATTACCTTGGCAATAGACAACACAACAAGGATCTTAGAGGAGAAAAGGAGAGAAAAGATTTCACACCTGACAACAGAACATTGGCATCATTCTTAAAATTAGCAGCTTGAGAACTCAAGTTGTATGTTTCAAAAATATCCCATAAATATTTAGGCACAACAGTAAATAAACTGTAAAAGCAGAAAGGTTAGATCTTGATGACATGATGTAAGAAGCATACAAGTATAGCTTAACAGGAAATCTCACACTAGCTGATTCACAGTGCCCATGATGTACAAGGTGGTGAGAGAAAGGAATTCAAGGGTCTTGATCTTAAGGCAAGGAGTTGGACGTTTATCTGGATAACCAGAACCACAAAATATGGTGGACCGAGACAAAGGTTACAATGATGACATGAATAGAGCACAGTAGGAGAAAAACCGAGATTTGTTCTGACTGAGGGCAACTTGAGAAGTTTTCTGGAAGAAAGACATACTGGAATGGGAACATTAAGGACAAAAATGGACTGATTTCAAGAAATGGGGAACATTCCAGGATGGGGAAACAGTGAGATCAAGAGTGGAACAGAAGTCTCTTGGAATCTGTTTTGTCCAAAACAAAGGGCATATCAGCTGTGTCCAGAATAGCACACCCTGCTGTGTTAAGGCTGGATTTAAGAATGTGAAATTATAAACACAATGCCTGGGAGTTCTTTGGAAAGAGCCAACCTTGTAATTATAAACCTTTGAAGTAATATAATAAATACTGCAAAGATAAAATAGTATTCATCAAAACATTTTGTAAGCTATAAACAATATATAAATATGAGGAGTTTTTCTCTTGAATGTGCCTGCTGCCCAGAAGGTACAGAACAGCTACTGCATGTGATGGCTTGTGGCTGCATTCTTACCCCGTGTGGGCCTGGCACTATCCCTGAAATGTATTCCTAGGTCCTAAGCCATGAGAAGGACGCTTAATTCTTGCCCTTAGCTGGAGAAGACAGGAACTTCAGCAAAAGCCAATGATATGTATTTGTTGAAACAAACCTATGCAAGGGAGTGGACTGTGAGGGACATCCTTCAGCCTGAGGATCTTTCCTGGAAGGTACCAGATTTTGGGTGAGATGGGTGTCCAAGAGATCTAAGTCCAGGGAGCTGGAGGGGTCAATACTCCCTCCTCACGGTAGATTTTTGGGGCATCTGCTGTGTGTAAGGCAAAGTCCATGAGTCTGGAATACGTAGACATAGGTCCTGCCCTCTTGAGGCACACACTCAGCAGAAAAGAGATACTTATCAAGTATCTGACATGGGACCAATGTTTCTAAGGAGAAGGGCCAGGCGCTTTTTTTCTCACTGTATAAAGATGGCATGTAGTGGAGGGGCAGGAAAGGCTTCTGGAGCTGAGCCCAGGAGACAGCTGGTTAGCAGGTAGAGGGGCAGGGAAGGGAGGGAAGAGATGGGAGAAGGGCTCTAGAGAGGCTAAATGAGACTTGGGCTGCAGGCAGAGGGCGGTGAACCTTGGGCATTGTAGACAAGGTCAGAGGTTTGGATTCTGTTTTAAGAGTCGCACACAAACACTAAAGAGATCTGAGTAGGGGAGAGACCTTATCCAGTGGAGTCTGAAAAGGAATACTTGGGAATAAATACTGTGAAGGGAGAGACGAGCAATTCAAATGAGAGATAATGATGAATTAGAGACAAGTAGGAGCAGAGCTCTCAAAAGACTTTGATGGACTGTATGGGCATTTAGAAGCATCTAGAGGACTTGAGGACTACAGGTGCCAGGAGTAGGAAAGAAGATGCAACAGAATGTCCAGTCTGCCATGTGAGGAGGAAGCCAGGGAGGCTGAGAAAGGCCAGGTACCTACACAAGGCTGTGCAGTGGCTGGGTTATGAAGATAGCTCAAATCCAGAGGTGCAACATGGTATAATGACAGGAATGTGGGCAGAAATCTGATCCTGCCTCACGTAAGGAAGCAAGGCTCTGAGCTCTATTTCCTTCATCTGTCCAATGAAAATACATATGCACTGTTGTCCCTGATTTATTGTGAGAATTTATGATGACATATGTAAAGTATTGGGCACTATCACAAATGGATCAAGTTGTGTCCACTCAAAATTCCTTTGTGGAGATCCTAACCCCCAATACCTCAAACTACAAAAGCTTATTTGGAAATAGTCATTGCAGAGGTACTTAGTTAAGAGGAGGTCATACTGGAGTACAATGAACCCCTAATCCAATATGACTGATGTCCTTACGAAAAATCAGACACATATAGGAAGAATGCTATGTGAATATAAAGGAGCGATGTGTCAACAAGCCAAGGAACAACAAAGACTGCCAGTAAATCTCAAGAAGATAGGGAAGAGGCCTGGAACATTCTCCAATACAATCTTCAGAAGGAAACAACCCTGCTGACAACTTGATCTTGGACTAATAGCCTCCAGAACTGAGAGAGACATATTGGCAAAAGCTATACCTAACTGGCACACTTCTCTGAGTTGGGGTCAGGTCAATGACTAGCACCGAGAAATATACTGTGCATGTGGCCAAATTTTGTTCTCAGGGAATGATAAACTGAAAATAATATAATAGAAAAATAAATTCATTCCTAAACTTTCATTTTGCTAATAGCTTTTCAAGACCGTATATCTCCCATTAACTATATGCATCAAACTTTTGATTACTTATATATTAGAAGTTACACTGGGAATCAATTTTCAGCTACAAAATGTCTGGATGCTCTTGCAATCCTGAACACTCAATTCTATTATCTTGAACTGGAAGCTAGTTAGTGGGTCAACTGATCTACTGAATTCTAAGCAGATCTCATTCCCATTTATTGTACTTGGAATTTTAACTTCATTCTTTTTGTTTCTCTTTAAGACTTGTGGGATATAGGCACACTTTGTTAAGTTAACAAAAAGGTGCTTTATTGTTTCTTTTAAACAAAGGTATAAAACATTCTTTTAGGATGGTTTAAATACCGTTTGAACCACAGAGGCAGGAGAATGGATTGACTGTTAACTGACAGACTATCTTCTTCCTATGTATAAACTGTACACACAGTGTAGTCTGGGTAAGCCCGTGCCCTCTTTCTTACCTCAGTTAGCTCCCAGGTAATACTGATTGTCCAGCAGAGACCATAACTACGGATCAACAAGGCCTTCATGGCCCAGCCCCAGAAATGTCCAAATGCAAATATATCAAAGTGGCTGATAATCCTCTCCCAGGTGATAACATGGCAGTTCACAGCATACTCCTAATTAAAATAAAAAGTAAAATAATTAATTAAACTCTAGAAATCAACTTGCTTCCAGGATTGTGACAGAAAATGAACAGATATGACCTTGACAAATAAAATATATCCTACTTAATAAAAAAAAGAAAGCATTAATAACTTAAGAGTCTTGAGGAAAAATGGGCAAGTATTCAAGCTTATAAGTCAGAATTGCTTTGCTCTGAATTGCAAATGCTGCATTAAGATGGCAAGCAAAATAATCTTACAAAGGCTCTCTCTCTCTCTCTCCCTATATATATATATATATATATATATATTTTTTTTTTTTTTCTTTTTTT